AGGTACCACCAATATCAGGTGGTACCAAATTAGGACCTCTTGTCCCTGCTGCTGTTGGCCTATTCTAGCCAAGTCCCTCTCCTACCTTCCCCAAGATCCCACACCATAGCAATCCCCAGGTCAACACATCTCAGCTGGGACCCTCTTCCCTCAGTTATTAGTCCTTGGCCAAGAACCTCAGTGCCAGAAACAGTGTTAGGAGCTTTGTCCAAAGGGAAATTTGCAACTGAGGAAGGAAGGACAGTGTAGTTGTCTTGCAATACCATGAAGAAGTCATAGTACAAAAGAGATAAACCATGCTGAACCCCACTAGAGTAACTTATTTTAATTCACCCTGAGCTGTATTAAAGAGCATTGCAGACATCACAGGACATCTCTCTCTTTTCACTATTTGCTTTTAGGAAGCAGAGTACCTTGGGGTCTCCCCATCAGCCTGTGGAGATGTGCTGGGTAGCGTCCTTATGCTGGACATGTCCTGGGTGGTGAGCCCTGGCAGGGCATCTCCTGATGTGTTACAGGCAGGCCAGAAAAGTCTTTTCCTGAGAAAATTCTTTTTGTGGGAGGCAGTAGCTCTCAACAACCACACTGAAACAAACAGTGAACCTTCTGTCAATAATGCATCGGCATTCAACCTCTAGGCCACTGCCTTTGTAGGCAAGGTAATAAATACAAATAAACTTTTTACAGGAGGCAGCACAGAGACCATGGAACCTCGAAATAAGCAGATGTGTTACCTGTCCATGCTTGAGCAGATCCTGAAAAATATAGTCTCAATATACTATTGTACAGGGACAATGCAGACACAGCTACAATAGTTCCTTTACATCATCACAACACATTTGGAGGCAAAAATATAGAGCTTGTGTTCTCTCTGGAAAATAAAACAGTTATATCTCAAAACTCATAAAGACCTGCTTATTTGTATCTGGGTTTGTTGTACCAGGGCTATATCTGCATGCAGATTAATATGTGCATGCCCAGAAGATTATCTGGTAGGATTAAAGAAAGGCTTTTAAAAAACCATGTCCTAATTTATGACAACAAAAAATACAGGGGAAATTCCTACAGAATTAAATGCAAAATAATCTAGTGACTTGCATGGTTTTTATATTATTTTAGAATTCAGAATTGCGATCTTTTGTGATTGATACCACAATCTTCAACATACATTGAAAAGGAGGGAACGTTAATTCTGCTGGCACAAATACTGTTTCACACTCCTTCTCAAATCACAGAAAAACAGAGCTAAAGTCCTCAAAAAATTTTGGCATAATTCTTCTGAATAGCTCTCAGTTATTGTATCCGACAATAACCACAGGGAGCAGGAGGAGGGAGAAAGGGAGGTGTGGGAGAATGTTCTCCGAAGGACTCCTGGTGTTTCTCTGGCTCCGGCTGCCATCTAGTGTTGCGCCGGGAGCGGTGAGGGGCGCGGCTCCCTGCGGGTTTGAGCATCTTCCGAGCCCGCCCTCCGCCTGCATCCGCGGGCAGGATGGAACAGCACGGACCCACCTCTCCCAGGACAGCAGCAGAGGAAGATGTTACCCAGAAAGCTGAAGAAGAGCTCCTATGAAGTGATTTATCAAGTATTTGCAGTACAACCACTTCTAAATGAAGTGATTCACGTGGTTGTAAACGTAGTCTCTGCAGGACTAAGGAAAGACATAACAAAACATAAGCCTTAATCTTCCACTGCATGAAAAGGGGAGGTTGGTTTGCCTGTTGCTGCGGCACAGCCATTGCTGTTGTATTCTCTTCCTCTTTTCCTTCCCATTTAATGGGAGTACAGAAGGCCCAATTCCCAGCTGAAGCAACTTTTGTATAGAGGGAATCACCTCAGTGTAAAAATCATCATTGGGATTGTGCAAACCAAGTGTGACACAGTGTATGCAGGCAATGTACCAGTCATCAAGACAGGCTGTAAGCTTCTGGAACAGGATGTACACTCACCATTATTTTTAGCATCTTAATAGCTTGAATTGTGCTAGAAATTTAGTTCTGCTTTGTTTTGGGAGAAAGTATTCCATTCTTTAATCCATTTTCCTCCTCAAACAGGCGGGAGTTTGTAGCTCTTTCATACAGTGCCATAATGTGCTCTCGGCTGAGCACAGTCCTCCAATTTGTTTGTTCCAAATGCTGCACATGGCTTTGAAGTGTGTCTGATTTTCTTCGCCCTGTTGTTTTAGCAGGCAGAGAGCCAGATAGTGGGCACAGGGGACATTTCAGAAGCTCCTGCTGATCTTTAAGAAGCTGCAGATCTTTGTGTGAAGATTGTAAACTGGAGAGTGATGTGACAGGCTACATCCACTGCTGCTCTTGGTGCTGGACAAGCAGTCATCCAGAGGTGGAATGGATTTTGCCATCCAGGAGATCTGGCTGACACTCCTGAGGTGTCACATCATTAACATCCTTGTGATTCTTGGAGTCTGTGCAAATAAAGGCAGCCTTGCCAGCAGCCGTAGATCCAAAACCAATGTGCTGTTGGAGAGTTGCAGTTTAGCAACAGGATCAGACTTGTGAAGGAAGTAATTACCTCTCTCACTGGTAATGAATAGAATTGGATCAGCAGCTGGCTTTGAGAGGATGGGAAGAACCTCAGGAAAAGAAAGAGAGCTTCCTTATTTAAAATGCTTCATTACCAAGGCCACAGGATGACATTTTATATCTAGTCAGAATGCCTAGTTCCCACAGACATTAGACTAAGCAAAATTACACCACAGCTTTAGGTCACAGATATTATGAGGGACAGTCCATATTCCATCAGGGGAGGGGGGCAGAGGAGGGATTTTCTGCAGGGCTGTTTAAGAGGGCTGGGCAGATGCTGAAGCCTTTTGGGACTATGGCAATACTTCATGCTGGGAAAAGCTCTAGAGGGTTGTATCTATTGGAATACTCTACTTTGCAGCTAGAACAAAGCTCCACAGGCTGTCACAGGAAACAATCACAAATTATCAGCAAATCAGTAAGTGGTCAGTGATGGATGATTGACAGGACACTAGATGCACTCCTGCATACACAGCAGTGCTAGAAATCACTATTACCTATTTTGTAGCACTACTTGTTTAGTAGTAGCAGTGATAGTGATGAATTCCTGAAGTTCTTTGTTGATTTATTTTCTAATTGAATTATTACAATTATTACTGTGTCTTAGCTACAGATGTATTCAGCAGATATTTAGTAAGCTCTCTCCATAGCCATTTGGGAGAGAAAGGACCACAATGGATTTGGCATGATTTATACCCATTTAAGTGTTTACCATTTGTGTCTGGTTTCCAAAGTAAAAATTTCATACTTCAAAATGTTATTGATATTTTAACTTTATTAATAAACTAATAAAGTATATATAACTAGGGCTAAAAATCAGTCCCCTATGCTGAAGACCTTTGTTAAGACGAGCAGTAGGTGCTGTAGTAAGTGTAGTGACAATGTTTACCATTTAAATTCTCAAAGGTGAAGGGACTGGTTAAATTTACTCATATAGTCCTTTAATTTCCAGTAGTATTTTTAATTTTTTTTTTCACTTGGTGTCGTTGCTGACTCCATCCTTTTCATCTTCTTGCATCTGTAAATTTTGAGTGTTCTTCACTCAGAGCTGGGGTTCAAACCACAGTGGAATTTGCCAGCTGAAGTCCCCTGTTACTCACTGAAAAGCTATCATTGAAAGTTTCCTGTATATTCAGTCCTTTGTAAGGAATATTCATGACCTTAATTTGACAGTCTGTTCGACCTGTGGTAACTACCCTTCCTTTCCAATTGTCTCATTACCCAGCAAAAGCTACCTTGTAAACAGGCAATTTTATCTGAAATTATTAGAAAAATTATAAGAGGATTAATTCTGCCACTCCATCTTTCAAAGCAACAAAACCACACTTCTTGTAGTTTTGAACATTCAGGGATTACTTCATATACAAACTTACAAAAGCATTTTGAATACACAGCAACCTTGACTTCTCTGTTCCATTACAAAATCTTGTCAAAATCACAGGCTAGAAAATAAACAAAATGTCTTTAAACTTAATAATTACATTTCAGTGTCCTTTCACATGACAAAAAAAGTGGGCACTTATTGAAGAGGTATCTGAGAAGGTAATGCTTAGCAAAATGGCTAGTATGCAACACAAATAGTGAGAAGAGGGCCAAAAAAAGGAAATAACATATTTTTTTCCTCAGGCATTATTAGGAAAGCTAACAATGAGAAAACTACATGCTTCAATCAGCTGATAGACCTCCAACACAAACAACTGGCAAGATAATCGATAAAGTTTGAGTCTAAGGTTGGAGATGATTAATGAACCATGATCTAATAGGAACAAGCAGAAGTATTTGCTCCAAAACCCAACTGCAGGTGCACACATAATCCTACATCTAAAGGCACAACAGTTTATGATCTGTGAACATCTGAGGCCAAGAACAAAGTGTTCAGCTCAGATCCAGCTTGATGGGCCACAGCACTGGACCTGATGAATACTAAGAAAGGAAGCACAGCTCAAGCCACTGCTGCTGAAGTATATTTATTTCTAACATCTTCTCCCACCCTAAGTACTTTTTAGACATACATCCATTTCACAAATAAAGTTATGCAGATTTTGTTATACAAAAGCCACAGAAATGGTACAGAAGACATCTTAAAAATAACTGTGATCCCACACACATAGTTTACAGCAATAAAGTTACAGTGAAATGCTCAAAAGGTTTACATCCTTGTCAACAGGAATTAAAAAGTAAATTAATTTTAAGTCTGGCTTTTTGGGAAGACCTTCAAATAGGAGGCTGACCTTGTTAATAAAAATTGTCTGGCATTAGACATATCTTAAAATTAAACGTTTCTGAAAAATCTACAAAATCAACTGATATAAAAACCTGGCATTTACAATACGCAATCCGTTAAAACTTCAATATACCATTTTTCAAAGTAAAAATAGTGGGACAGCAGTACATAAAATCAGACTTTCCAAAGCACTGCTGCGTCTTAACTAAACAACCAATGAGACAACTTTCTCTTCAACAGGAAAAAAAAAAAAAAAAAAATCAGTCTAAAAACCGATCTGACATAATTTTTTTAAAGTGCATTAATTATCTGAACAGTGCACTGATGCTTTTAACAATCTTAAATACAAAAATGCAGAGAACCAGTATAATTTTCAAAGTTTACAACAGCTACGACCTAGAATTAAATCACTAATATTTCTTAATTTATAAACCCTTTAGGTTCAGGTATGTATCATCCTCTACGTACATTCTGTAAAACACAATGTAAATCTGATCCTGGTTAGTCATTGCTTTTGTAGCTTATAAAAAATTATGAAAAATTAGAAAATTATGTGAAGAATACATACTATGGGCTTATTTTTTGCCAGCTGAAGTACTGAAAACTCTCTTGGATTTAATGATTCCTTAGACTTTGAAGCACACTCATCCATGAAGAAACCCAATTGAAATTAACAAAATGCAAATCATACTGCAACTTAATTTCAAGTACATTTGGTGACAGGTGTGCTCAGAACTTAATTCTGGAAGATGCACATTATTTTCTGGCACAGTTACTTTTGAAATTGTAATGGATTTGCAAGTGTACTGGCCACACGTGAGGCTAAGGAAGAGATTGTGTCCATCTACCACTGGAAAGGTAGAATGATGACTACAAAACCAATGACAGACAAGTAATAAAGGCTTTAAATTGTAGCCAAAACTACAAGCAACCAGCAAGTTTGGAAATGTGTGAACCACGTCTACAAAAACTGCAATGAGGTAAGGAAATCAATACATTGGAGACTGGACAGAGAAAGACTGGACAAACAGTAATGCCTTCATCTTTTTGGGTTCAGGATCAGATACGATGATGCGGTATTAGGACAGTGGGTTTTATTTTTGTCACTTACAGAACTAGAGATCTTTATTTATCTATACATCAAAGAGTCTCTTGCTATGTGTTCCAGTATAGTATAAAACTTGAAAATACTAGTTGCATATATTGGCTTATTTTTCTAGGTTTTTATCTAATTGTGATGTTAAATAAAGTACTCAACAGTTAAAGCTTACTTAGAATGTTGTTCAATCTCAAAGCTCTACTTAGCAGCCACATCAGTACTGAAAGACTACCATCTATTCAAGGTGTAGAACAACCACCATGTGGGATATGAGACAACAATAGATAAGGACATTTATGGTGCAGCTTTGGTGTTCAGTTGGTTGCATCATCTCTTCTCAGAGGAATTACTTGAAGTGCTTTGGCTATTCTCTCTCCGATAGCTCGACTACTTGCTGCAATTATTCTTCGAGACATCAAATCAAATGGTCCACCTAGAAAGAAAAGCAAACAAAGCAACCAGTTTATATATGAAGAAAATAAAAAGTTGGTATGAAAATAAGCACTGAAAAAGTTGAATGTAAATTATACATTATTATTTAGGACCGCGTTTTTCCTCTGGACAAAAATGCATTTAACACAACAGTTATCTTGTATGAGCTGCATTTAAATTCTCTTCAATGCATGTTTACTGTCTTTTTTCACTTTTCCAGGAAACCAGCCAAGGGAGTAAAGGTTGTCTTGTTGCTTTAGAACATACAATCTATTAATGGGTTGGGAACTGTTCAGTAGTGGTAGCTTGGAAAGAGGACCGCAAAGAACTTCTCACCTTCTCGTTTCAGCTACATTTTGCTCCCTATTAGCCACTTGAAAGGACAAAGGAGTATTATGCAGGCCCATGTACTTACCTGTTACATCCAGCAGTACTCCACCGGCTTCAGTAATAATGATTCCAGCTCCTGCCATATCCCAGCAGTGAATCCCCATTTCGTAATAGGCATCAGCTCCACCTGTAGCCACAAGGCACATGTTCACAGCTGCTGTACCAACAGCTCTAATCCTAAAGGAGATACAAGATGTTGTTTTAACTGAGAAGAGTTTGCAAAAAAGTTACAGTGTCTGTGTACACTGCACAGAGAACACAGGAATGTCATGATGGACGTGAACTGAACTAGAGCAAGTATGATGAAATGCTGCAGTGAAACATAAAAAATGGGAATTAAGTGTTGCTTAAGCAGCTTGAAGTGTTTTCAAAATACAGTAAATTTCTAGGAATTACATTTACAAATTCTGTTAATCAATTTTTGTTTGAACACATCTTAAATGATTTCTTAAACTAGAACATATTATAGAAGATAATGTCCGATGAAACAGTAACAGTCTATTCTGCTCTTTGAATATCAGAATTCAAGGAGGGTATACACTTTTCAGTGCTGAAAGCACGTATTTTTTCAGTTTCTTTGGTGATGCTCAGTAAACATCTCTGACTTGCCAAACCTTCTAACAGTAATCACAAAAAATAAATTACACAGCATAAATTTAGTCTGGATAACTTCACCAAATCCTTGCGTCACAAATTCCAGTTTCTTTTGGAAATGTCAATGTACTTAGCAAGTGTGACTTGTACAAAAAACTCCAGTTATTTCAGTTAACAGTAAACTGTACATTAAATTCTAACTGAGGGCAGCTAAACTATTGCAAGAAGCAACTTAAATCAACTCCAGTCTCAAACTATTGTATACAAATAAAATGCCTAAGTTGAAATCACAAATGTATTTCCTACTTACATCTTGGCATATATTCTTTAACAACAACTTTCTACTTTTGGAAGTAGAAAAATGTTAAGTGCCAAAACAAGAATCCTGAGAATCTCAGTATAAAACTTGTTAGATCAGAAACATGAATATGGTTGAGTAACGAAAAACTGTCTACTGAAACTAACTTTATACAAAATGGTTTGTGGAAATGTAGACTTGGGCTTATCTGGAGGAAAAGAAGCATGGAATGCAAACAAAGTAAGAGCAGTTTATGACAATTTAAACTACTCAAAACTATGGTTTTGAAAGAGGAAAGGGAGCTCTACTTTTGTCTTATAAATCTATATGTAAAACAACTTTCATTACTACAAGGTAAAGGAAACTAAGAAATGTAATATAGCTTCTGTTAATCTAGTTTTATATAGGGAAAAATAAAGCACAAAATTGTATTTAATTTTTTTAACTAACTAGTAAATACAACACTTTGTAGTCCTGCAAGCCCAAACATGCTTTGCTTCTCAACACTTATTGCTAGGGTTCTCTTCTGCATGTCTCAGCTTGAAAAAGTTAAACACAGTTTCTTTGTGGAAGCTACTAGACAGAAACATTTAAATCATATTTCATATTTAAGATGTCAAATATAATGCAACCAAAGTGCTCTAAAAATTATCATATTTACAATATTAACCGCTGTCAATATATATATATATATATATATATATATGAAAATAGGACGTATCTTACCCATGAATAGGAATACTGAGAAGTCTTTCCATATTAGAAAGAATTATTTTTATAGCCTCTGGATCACGATTTGACCCCAATTCTGTTACTAAAAGGGATTTTGTAATGTCTGTAAAAGAAAAAAACCTTGCTCTTCCAACAGCACAATTTACATAGTCACAGTAACTAGCAGAGTTTACTTCATTGCTTTCTTACAAGACTGAATAAAAGTGAGGTATCTTAATAAAATATTACATATATCAAACATATGAAAGTCTGTTATTATTTGGAAAATGTCAGGAAAAATAAAATAAAATGAAAGAAGCACTATCTGCTCCAACTGTGAATATACACGAAATGATGCCACTACTAAATAAAATTCTATTGCTGTAAAAATTAAAACAGTCTTGAGATACTTGAAGAGCTCATTTGAAGCATGGATTTCACTTGATGTAGGGTTATAAGCACGGAAGAATGGTACTGACTTATAGGTCACACCTGGGAGAAGCTGAATTGTTTGGCAGATTTGTTTCACTCTAAAGAACAATCTCAGAAAGACTGCAGACATACGGGGAATTAAAAACAAAGAAACAAAACCACAATACATGGGAAATAAAATCTTCAACTGCCGAGTCCTGGTTTTGCACAGATCACATTATATGCATCAAAGAGAACATAAAAGGTGTTTCTCAAAACTAAACTTCCCACAGCCAAAGAAAGTCTTGCAAAACAAAAATATGAGCTAAGTAATACCAATATATCCAGGTCCCAAATTTCTCGTCTCATTTGCAATCTGGTAATTACCAGAAAGAAGCTACTCAGTTCAGCTTACCTTCTTGGCCCGACACTTGAAGTTTCTGACCATTGCAAAATGCACCTTTTCCTTTTCTGGCAGTATACATCTTGTCTTCTATACAACTATACACAATTCCAAACTCTATCTGCAAGAAAAAGGAAAAATATCTTGAGGGGCTTTTTCCTTTTCTTCTTATTAACTGTGAAATAGGAAATTGCAGAATTTAGTTGTAACTAGGAGCAAGTAATTAATCTGGATTTGATTAGATATTAAGTAATAAAAAGTATACCTTTTTGTTTACAACAAAGCCAATTGAAACTGCCACAAATGGAAACCTACAAAACAAAACATTTCACTAATTTATAGTGAGATACTACATTTCTTTTATTACCATGCTTAATCTCAATAAAGACAGTGTTCAGTTAAATGTAATATATATTTCAAAAATAAACTTGCACTATATAAAACATAGTTTTTTGAAATTTGCACAATTTAGCTGAAAACAGAGCCAACAACATTGATTACCATTTGAAACACAAAACTTTTCGACCCACCAAGGGCTGCCATTTCTGTAACAGCTGCTCCTATCCTAGGGACTGTTCTTTACAGCTGAAGAATGCAAACAAACCTTCATGCTACTAACCTTTCTCAGAAGGAATAAGCTGGCCAAAATGTTCTCATAAAAAGAACCAAGTTACTTCCTACCACCCCCCCTTTCTCCACCAAAACTATGACAAAGACAGATACTGAAGAATGCAGAAAGAGTGAAGACAGTAGGACCATGCAAGACATGGTGGACTGCATCTCAGTCTAGTTTGAAACAATCAACCAATTAATTATTTTATTTTTTTTTAATTCTCAGACATTTGCTTTTATTCTTTCTGCAAAAAAACCCAAATTTAAGCCTGTAGATTCAGCAGAATGGGTTATTTTCTTATAACTTCCTGAATATGTAATTTAGCATGATTCAAAAGGTGTTTGAAAGCCATTATGCACATAGCAGCAGTCACTTCAAAACTGAAATCAAGCAGACTCAGAAAAGCTCACAGCGGCCAAAATTTGTCACATTTAAAAGAGGTAAGAAACAGGCTGTCAGCATTACTATACTAGTCCCTTCCTCATCTTGTTGCGAAATATCACTGATAACTACTAGTGATATCCTGATTTCCTTCATAGTTGGGGCTCCTAGAGGTCAATGGATTTGAAAATTCTTAGAAATCAGCACCTGGAGCTGTTACTCCTTTCCTGAAGTTGAGTTGCTTCAACTTCTTATTCTGAATCCTGTTCCTGTACGAATCTGCCCATCTATCTTTGGAATCCATGCCAGGCTGCTGACCCCTGCCATATAATACAGGCCCTATATGGAACTGATGTAGGTAAAAGAGCAAGACTCTCACAATACTCACAGGAACATTAAAATGCTTGCAAAATCTGCCCAATGGCTCTCAATATGTAGTAATTGTAACTATTAACAAGTTCATAGTATCTCTTTTAAAGCAGTTTAAAAATTAAAAACAACCTTACATGCATGGAACTGGAGAAATAAAAAGGGTAATCAGTTGAGATTGCATAAAAAAAAAGAAAAAGAAAGGTGGACCTGTGTACAAAGTTGGTAGTTCCATCAATAGGGTCTATAATCCATGTGGGGTTATCTGTCAGAATGCTGCCCTCTCCAGCTGCAACAGATTCTTCTCCAATAAAGCTACAGTTGAAACACATTTAAAAGACAGAAATTGTTTAAAATATCTGAATTACAACATTGTCCTTGACATTGAAATTCTTAAAAGTGAGATGAAGCTTTGAGTACCACCAGTGATCATATGCAAAAAGCTGAGAAATACATTATTTATCCGGAAAGCACCAACAATATCTGACCAAGCTTGCATGTTTATAATGTCAAGGATAAGCACAATATGCTGGGAAAATAATTTTATGTTTAAACTCAGAAGTAATACCAGAATTTAGCATTCAGAATATTGATGTTTTCATCATTTTTTTCCAGTAACATCATAAAATTTTCTTCAAAATACCTATAGCTATTTACACCTTTCAGCTTATTTGCGTTATACAACATTATTTTGTAGCTTGTGTTTTCAGTGAAGACTTTGTGGTCTTATGTACCTGGTTAGAACACTGCAGCCACTGTTGAATTTCAAGACTGATTTCAACCCAGATATGACAGAAAGTTGTTAATCTCAAAACTTTAGTTTTACAAGCATGACAAAAGGGATGAAATTCAAACCAGAGCTCCTGAAGTAGATGGATAAGTGCATGCTCAGCCACAGTACTAAACTCCAGGGACACAGAAGTAACAGTGCCACAGCACCCCAAATTTCACAAGTTTTGCTGCTCATGAATGCGTTTTAAACTGCAAAATTATTAGAATGACTTAAGTGGGTGGAATTATCTTTGAGGTCTTTTGCAGGTGGTCACAATTTATCACAAATTACTCAACCTATGAAAAATCTGCAGCACACTTTCCTTCAAAAACACGTAAAATAACTGCTGAGAGGAAACAAATGAAGTCCCTTCAATATTGATTGGGAGTTTTATGATTAACTACAGAAGTGAAGATGACTAATCAGAAAGAAACAGCTTGTTTCCAAAAAGCAGCAGACCTTCAGAAAAATGAGACTGAATACAGGTGGATGAGTAATTCACTAGGAGAAGTTCAGCATCATTATGTCTACTGCGACATTGGTTACTTAAAATAAAAAGAAGCTAAAATAGTCTAAAATGCTTATCAATGTCACAGAAACCGTTATTTCAAGGTCATTCCATAAGCCTTACGCATATACCAATTTGGTTACTGAACTTTTGCACCACCTCAGTTGTTCCAGTTCTACACAGATTTCTTACATTTCACACATACAGCCACAATAACAAAATCTCTGCAAAAATGAAAGAAAAAGATGGCAAACTGACTTTAAGGAAACTGTATTAAATTTGAGCCATTATGTCAAAATGCTAAAGACAGACCCATGTAAGCAAAATACATAAAGATCACACTTCAAGAATACATTTTTCAGGAGGTGGGCAACAGTGGTATAGAGAGGGACAGGAGAAAGGAAAAAAGGTGAAGAGCAATTAAGAAAACTAGTATTTTGTATGACAGTCTTTCTGTTATGCAGAGCAAGAAGATCCTGTCTTCTTTTAAGGATGCTTTATGTTGTAAAACTGTATGAGATTTGCAAAAGGCACACTCAGTTCCACAGGACCCATCCAACACAGACAGCAAAGGAACACTAGTCTCAAAAGCAGACAAGAAATTTGTGTTCCAGGTCTCCTGGGGCCATCTTTGATTTTCCACCACAATAACCAAGAAGTTTCTTACAGCTGGCTCAACTGAAAGCGACTTTCAGCCTAAGTTTTGTCTCATGTCAGTAGTCCTGGGGACGCCTTGTTTTGTTGCTAGAGCCCTGGGCAAAACTTCAACCCACTTCTACTCTAAAATACTTCATTTATTGAAGGAGAATGCCACAACTTTCCAGCATGCCACTTGTAATAAAACTTTTCTAAGCAAAATCATAAACTTTTCAATTTTCTTCTGTCAAAAGTATACTGGTAACAAGCCATACCTGTGAGAAGGATACTTCTCTTTTATCAAAGAAATAATGAAGTTTTCTACTTTTTGATCAGTTTCTGTCACTAGATCCACAGGTGAACTTTTAGTCATAAAAGATCTTTCTTCTTTGAGCGCTCCACAGATTATCTGTTACAACAAAAACAAATAGAAAAAACATCTTTCACTGTTAACATTACGGAAAATATTAAGTTTTCCAGAAAAACTTGAGTATAATTTTTACAATCATTTTCCATACTGCATACACAAAACACAAGCAGTGACATAAACTGGATTTAAATGCAGGAGCTGGGATTTGCATCTCTAGTCCCTACTCAGTACAAAGTTTTATATGGCTTTAAATCTAAGTAAAAAAGGAAGATCTCCAGGTAGATGAAACTAGGGTCCATTTTGTAAGAACAAGTTTTAGATTTACAAATTTAAATACCAGAGTTGAATAAAACACCTAACACTGAGCTCAAGTCAGCTATTTTTAGCTACACCCTGCATTTATGATCTTAAAACCACCAGTATCAGCTTAAGCAAGAATTCAGGCTTCACAACCCACAGAATTATTTTACTGTAACTCAGAAAGACTTTCTGAGGAAAGACTTTAATGAGGTTGTTGCAGAGACACGTGTTCCACGGATTCTGTAGCTCCAGGGGACAGAATTAGTACATGTGCCATCTTGTCTGGCCGCCACAGCCTTCAAATCTACTAAGCAGAACTACTAAGAACCAAAACATTTTGTAACCACTCGTGCTGAGGCTCTGCCAAGATGTACACACTTTTTCTTGTTCTAGGCCATTTTACATCTCAAATGGCAAAATATCATCACTGTAAGGGATGGCTCTTATTTACAGAAGCAAAGCAGTCTTCACTTAGAGGAACAATCACAGAATGGTTTGGGTTGGAAGGAGCTTTAAAGACCATCTAGTTCCAACCCTCCTGCCATGGGCAGGGACACCTTCCACTAGACCAGACTTAAGAGATCCAACTGGCCCGGCCTCAGACACTTCTAAGGATGGAGAGAACACAACACAGCATTGTGTGCCATCAACAAGCCACTGTATAAAGCTGATTGAGGTGTTCACAAGAACGACTGTCACCAGCTTTCAGGTTCGAAAAATAATAAGGCAGACAGGAGTGAAAATCGAGATGCTCTTTGTTTACAGTTCTGAATTTTATTTTTTAAATCAAACTCAAGGAATAAGTTACTCCTTAGGCTTTAATCAGACTCCAGGTCGAGGAAAAGCACAAAGTTGTTTTCTTAAGTTAACCAAGCTGCAAACATAAAAGACACTCTAATCTTGCACTTGAACATCACAAACTATTATGCCCATTTAGGTTTCTGACAAAATACTCTTCCAAAGAAATTCCAACATCAACCTCTTTCAAAAGTTATACATATATTAGACTCAATAAATCACGTTATCATTTATGAAGAGCTTATACATACCTCCCCAGCTTTCCTTGCTAAACCAACTGCATAATCCATACATTCTTGCCAGGGATCTGCCATCTTTCCCGAGATAAAGAGCCTAGCAAAAGGAGAGATTAATGCAAAAAAATTATTGTGGCTTGTTTTCTTTCATTCTTTTTTTTTTTTTTTTTATCAATTCGAAGTTTTTTTGCTTCACCTCGTTCAAGCGCTGCTCAAATGAGGAAATGGGCTGAGCGCACGCCCCGCCCCGTGGCTGCAGGACGCGTCCCGGGCGCTGCAGGACGCGCAGGCCCCTGGCGGCGCCCGAAATGGCGGCTGCGGCGCGCGCCGCCCTCACCGCCGCCGCTGCCGCCCAGGCGCACGCGCCGCGGGCCCGCCTCCTCCGACGCCGCCGCTCGGTGGCGGCCGCGCCTGCGTGTGAGGGAGCCCAGGGCCGGGCGCGGCAGCTTCGGCGCCGGCGCTGTCAAAATTTACAGGGGAAGTGTTGAAATTAGACTTTGATGTCGACTTCTTGTTAATAATTGGACGTGGCAGGGCGGAGATACCGTAAATGCTCTCCCATGGAGCATGCGATTGAAGTTTATCATAGAATTGAAAAGATGGTTTGAGTGGGAGGGAACTTTGAAGATCGTAAGCAACCCCTCTGCCGTGGCTGGGATCACCTTCCCCTAGACCTGGTTGTTCAGAGCCCCATCCAACCGGGCCTTACTCCCTTCCAGAGGTGGGACATCCACATCATCCCTGGGAAACCTGTGCCAGTGCCTCAGAATCATCACTGGTTCTGAGCAAGTTCACTGAGTTCGACGATTTTTGAAAACGGTTTCCAGTGCAACTGATGCAATCAATATTAATTAAAATTATAGAGAGAAGAACGTTCCAAGCCTGACTGATACCAGTTTCATTTTATTTTTTTTTTTTCCCTGTGGTCTTTTGAGCTACTGTCTCTCATCAAGTAAAGGCAGAATATTCAGGGCTTGTTTTGTCCTTACAAATTGCAAGTGATGTAACTGACTGTCCCATGTAAAATGGTGATCTGGCTAAACAGGGCAAGGGTTGCAATTTGCTTTACACTTAATCATAGAATACCTACTACACCAAAAGAAGCAGTCTTACCCCATTGCCCCAATGCCGACCCAAGGCAGAGCTAGGCCAAAGGGCTAGGCAAAAGTTTTGTCCTTTCCAAATCACTGAAGATCACAGCTTCCAAATCACAGTTTCCACTCATTGAATCTGTTGTGTGGGGCAAGTCACTGTGCAATTCCACATTTCCTCCTTCCCATCTCATAAACAGGAATAAGCTGGCTTTTGTAAGGATTCAGAGTCATTAAAGAACTACAGAGGTGATAAGTTGTGTTTTTGTTGATTATTTTGTAAATAATTCTTTACAGGGTTATACCAAAAGCACACAGTCCTTTGGCTCATATTTGGTTTTTGTTGAGGCAAGCTGCTGGACATGCCTCAGTACAACCTATATAGGACTACACGAGTGTTATGAAAAATGATTTTTTTTATATCATTATTTTATACTTAACATTACAGCAGGAGATTTCTTACAGGAGATTTCAAATTCTGTATTCACCTTAAAATCAGCAGAAGTAAAACAGGAATGCCTGAAGTTCTCTCCTAAAAAGTATAAAAAATTTCCTAATCCAAACCACAATTTCTATTTCAGCTGAAATGAAATTTTGTCTTTTATGTACAAGGCTACTAGGTAGAGAACTAAGCTGCAAGGTGTATTGTTATGTGTCACCTGATAAACTAAATGAACAACTGTGATTTATTGAAAGTCTGCTTTCTATCAGACTGAATATCAGACTGAAAACAGACTGATCACACTCCAGGGTGCATACTTTTCTAAGAAAGACACAGAAATAGAATTTGGTGCAAATAAAAGTATGAGAGATTACTGCCTGCTTTCTTAGTGTGATATATTATTTCTTGTTTACTACAGCATTGCCTAGCCAATCTAACAGATCAAGAATCCACTCAGAATCAACTCTTGGTGTTAATACAACCCTTTCCAAAATGTTGTATATATTACAAAAACATGCCAGGCAACCTTGTAGCAGACTTTGAACTGGAATAAGGCCAGAAGCTGCTACCACACTATCTCATAAAATGTTAGTAAGTCCTTTACCTTGTGCATTCTCTAAAATTGCAGCTAGAACAACTAAAATGCTTGTATTCACCTATTTTTGTAGTTTGGCTAAAAGCACTGTTTATTGTAAAAACCACAAAGTAGTTCTTTTGATAAATTCCTCTTCTTGCTTGCATGACTTCTAGATGCAAAAAAAAAAAAAAAGTATGTAAAGTTTGATTTATTAACTCTGAAGTGAAACAGTTCAGCACCTTCTAAGCACAGGCCAGTAAAATTAACAGTGGTTTCACTGAATGAAATGACTCCTCCAAAGTCTTTTGGGTTTTTTTTTTTGAAAATGCAACTGTTGAACTTCTGTATGAAAATGTGCTAAGATCATGTTTTAAAAACAAAACCAAAAAGCTAAGTAATGATATGTTTGAATCTAAACAGGTAAAATGGGAGCAATTCCAGCCTATGCAAGATCCTAAAGGTCTGGGAAAGTTTCTGCTTTTTTTCCTAGTACCATTGATTAGGGTAGAGTTTTCACCTCTTCTCAATTATTTATCTGTCAGACTAATTTGATTTTGCTGCTCAGTTTCCGAAAACTACCTAGAATGAGCTTCTGTGTACAATCCTAGACACATTCCTGGAATAAGATGATAGTGAGAACTTTTTGGAGTCTTACCAACTGTGACTTGCCATGTTTGTACTGTCATTTACACGCTGATAGCCCTTAGCCATTACTGGCGATTGATGAAAGCAACCACCCTGGTAAAACCTTTGAGGTCTCCCCAAATATTTAATTCCTGCATTCCAAGTCTATCTTCTCTTTATCCACAAAAAAAATGTTGTTTCAATTATTTTGCCTGCAACTGCTAAGGCAGAAAAATCAGGGGCAGGAAGAAGGGTGTAAGTAGTGAACAAAGATTTTCTGCTAAAAAGAAATGACCCTGTTGCACAACAGCATTTTTTCACTTGCTTTTGTAGCAACAGTGCAGGGAACAAGTTCTGTTTAGGGCTTTTCTCAACTCACTGGTTCCACAATGCTGGTAGGCCTCTGACAGCATATTCTGTACCACAGCAGCCTAAGATAAAAAGAAAAATGAATAGACAATTGCAGATGAAAGGGAGGAAGATAAAAAACAAGGGAAAAGGGAACTGTTCCTCTTGTCCTGGAAAGCAAGATAACTGGAGAGACAGGCAAGGGAAAGCAGAAAAGTGCTCCTGTACTTTCTGCTGCCAAGAGACAAAGATTTCCAAAATATCCAGCTACTGAAAACCCTTTCCTTCATAGAAACCAAAACCACTTTCCTTTATGTGACACCCACACTACATCCAGTAATTTATTCATACCTAAGTAATGTTAAAACTACAGTAAAGAGTACTGTAAAACAAAATAAGTGACAGGCTTATCAAGATTTTTTATCCCCACCTAATCACAGAATGAGATTTACAATCAGGGGTAAATGAAGTTTTTTAAATTCACTTCACCTGAGTGAATTTACTTTTGCTTCCTAAAGCTTTCCTTCTAAATGTCATTACAAGAATAAAATGTGGAGCCGGTGTATGGACAGTGCTGGTTTCCAAATGCAATCAAATCTGTTCATGTAGATGTAGAAAAGACGCTGCAATAGTGTAGTATGTTTCTGTCCTTCAGAAAACTGTCATACTGCAAGTTCACATTTTCATTATTTATTAAGACATACTGTCGCCACCACTTACACAAAAATAAATACCGAATTTAAGAAAACATTCTTGATATTATACAGCTCAATACAGCAAGAATTCTAGAATGTGAATTTCTGTAATATTAGTTATTATAACTTTCCTTTCAGGAAATAGCTCTTCTGTCAGTCAAGCAACTGAGAAACTTATGGGAATTGTGTCTTTACAGTGGAGGACAGATTCTGGCATACCAGTGATTTTAAAAGAAAACTGGACTTGCTTTAATACCATGCTTCCAAAAAATACTGGATTTTTTTTTGTTTGTGAAAATTTATTGACTAACTAAAGTAGGACTCTGTATCTTCTATAAACAGAACATCATTATCAAGATACTCTAGAATTATATTCCCTCCATTGTACAGTGGGTAGTCTTTATCAGATAGCCATGTTTCCAGTGTGTGTTCAAATGGCAAGGCTTCTCCAGAGGCAGTATGGCATAATCTCAGTTTCTGTAAGACAAATAGCACAGAAATTAACATCAAGAGTTGCCTATCCAAGATGAAAGAAGTGGGGTGGGAGAGGCACAAAAGGCAAAAGAAAAACTAAACCCAAAATGCCAAAATCTAGAAAATGTTTGTTATTGTTGACTTACCTGAGATGTTGATTTGTTGTTGTCATTTTTAAGGCTTGCTAAGGAAGCTGCAAAATCTACTACTTTGCCAATACTCCACTTACTGCAAAAGAACATGGGTTTGCTTTTCTCTTTGTTCCCTTTTGGTAAAAATACTTGAAAGTAAATTCTTTCTTTCTAGAAAAACATGAAATACAAAACAAAAATTACCCACAGCAGAAACACGTAATTCCAGTCATATACATCTAGTAAGTTTTTATAAGTAAAGCTTAAAACTTTTTTAAGTTTTTCAGTAAAAACCTTAAAACTTCAGACCCAAAATTACCAACTGAAATTTGTTTTATTACATCAGTCCAATTTTACTGCAAAATATAAATGACCAAGATCATCAAATCAAATCCTCTCCAGCTGCAGGAGGAGAGGATAAGACAGACAGTAAGTTCTTAAAGGTGGAGAGAACATCTTTTCCCACCAGTCCTACAGCACACTGTTATGTATAGACAGACATGAAAAGGTATCTGCCCTCGTGAGAAAAACGTGCGTTTGATTAAACAGTATTTGTTTTTGGCAGCAGTATAGTGTCTCAAATGGGAATGCAGAAGCAGTTAGAGCAGTTCACTGTACTAGAAATGCTTGCTTCACAAACCAGCATTCAGATAATCCTTCATCCTGTACTGTATCCTCCTTTTATGTACTAAACACTCTTTCTACTAGACTGAAAGATTTGTTTAAGAAACGTCAAGAGTAATCTATGAGGGAGAGATTCTGAATGGGATTGGGGTAAAATATAACAAGGATGACTGCTATATATTCATTATTTAGGATCATCCTTGCTGAGTCAAAGTCAGAAACAAGACAGAAGTCTTTTTTTTAAAGGATTTATTTATGTGTCCCCTCAGAACATATGGAACTATCTCAACCATGTTCATAGAACTGGCTCTGAATTTCAACCTGTACATTTTCCTTGAAATCTGAGTGTTCTCCACACAGAAGAAAAGAGAATAATGTCCTGGAGCTATCCCTCTGAAACATCAGAAAATATTAGTAACTGAAGTAAATGGAGCAGTGGTTTCTTATTCAATTGTTAAGGTAAAATTTGAACTCCTTTTTTTTGTCTTCCTGCATCCCCCAAAACCAGCAAATGCAACCAGGAAACCTGAATGCATTCAGTATGGATATTCTGTGAGCTGCATTCAGGGGAACACCTACTGAGCCATTAAAACAATTGATGAAGAAACCATGCTAGGGCCTCACAAAGAAGGTCACCTTTTCAGGGTACCAAGTGGATTGTGAACAGGAAATAAGCCCCCTGGTCCACTTGGCAAATTAATTATGTTGGACTTCTCCCTTGAACACCCGAAGGGTGGTGTTACACCCTTACTGGAGATAAAATAAGGAAGGCTTACGGAAAGCTTTTGCATGTGGTAAAGTGCATGTTCATACCACTCTGGCAGGATTTAATCAACACATTGCTGACATTCCCATGCCCTCTGCTGTGCAATCTGACAATGGCATTCATTAAAAAGAAAAAAAATCCAGGAATGGTAGGATGATCATGTGGTTGCCTGGGTGTCCCCCCTGTCCTCAAAGTCAAGAAGTGGAATGTCCACTAAAATGGGCTCCAGGGCAAAGTTTCCTTATGGGAAAATGGGGTAAAAGCTCTACTTAAAAGCTGTTTGATGTTTAAAATAACCAGTAGACACCCACCAGATGCCCAGTAGAAAAAACTCATTCTCCTGTTCTCCAACCAGTAAAATGAATCCCCTACTGTCAGTCCTTCTCTTTCTTCAGGGTGACAATATTCTTACTAACTACCCTTATGAAGTTTAAATACCTGTCTGTCCCTTTACTAACTCCCAAAGTAAAGGACGCATAAAAAACTGTTTCTAAATGGGGACTCTATTTACCTTCACTGAGGTTTGGATAATTCCCAAGAATGAATAATTCCTTATCATTTTTATCATTTATCATTATCACTCAGGAAATGAGTGAAACTTGGACAGATTTTTTAGCCCAAGCAAACCTGGAGTATGCCCAAGGAATCATTACTTTTACCTTTGTAGAAAACTCAGCTGTAAAAAGATGATCACAACACCCACTGTATTGTACTGACCTTTACCTATACCTCCTTCTTCCCTGTTTCATGAATGGGATGATAATCGTGTCATTCAGTTTATGAAAATAATTTCTCAATGGAGTTGTATATACAACATTCTCAATCTTCAGATGCTAATTCTGGGTGAGTAGCTGAATCTGCACCTGAAACATCTTGGTACCAATCTGAGTTGGCATACTCATCCCTTTACACTCTCAAGATTAGCAAACTCAAACTTTTAAGGCACATTCTTACCATAAGACCACATTGTCCACTGCAATGCCCCAACATATGAATTCAATCTAGGTGGGAATACCAAGCAATTTTATTTCACGTCTAGATAATCGGAAATATTGCTAGCCAAGTATTAAGATTTGACACTATCTGCAAAGGGTCCAGGTGCTAAGGAACCACAAGCTAAGATGTGCTATAAAATTCTGAGCTGCACTACTTACAAAATTGTGCGACAGTGATTGTAGAAATCCTGTTCTAGTCTAATAATAAAATTCTATGCTCTGCTGATCATCAAATTCTGCTAGACTGATAAGCTTTATTAAATCTTAGTAATGTCATCTTTCTGCCAAAAATCCCCAAAAGACCCTGTTTGTCCCTGCAGTGCTATGTAACAGCCATGTGGCAGGCAAATACATTTCTGCTATAAAGTAACAGAACTTGACTCCACTGCTCCAAACCCCACACAGACATAACGGACATAAGACTAGTGAGACTGCTTTTGGAAACCAGGCTGAAATATACCTTTAAGGGATTGTGGTCTTGAGAAATTAAATCCAAAACCAAGCTGAGGGAACTCAATGAAGATCAAGCAATTTAGAAAACTTTCTAGTTCCTTTGAGAATTCAGTTATTGAAAACAAACATCACTGACCTGAGGCAAGGACTTGTCCCCACATGCGTGCATTTTCAGTTTCATTAATGCCACTTTTGCTGCCGTCTCACTGTTTTTTGCTCCTTTACGTTTTTTGCTTTTCACTTCATCACTTTTTTTAGAATCTGAGAAAAGTATTATTCCTGTTAGTGTGAACATTCTTACAGTTTCCTGACCATATTATATGACATACACCCACTTAATCTGTTGGGTCTCATTGTATTTCCAAGGATCCCACCCCCTTTTGTGTCTGTTCATATTCTCCCAAAGTCATGCATCAGAATTTTTAGTTCTAGCAGAATTCCTTTACATTGAAAAGCAGATTAACATTATCACCATGTAAACACAAGCTGCAAAAGCCAAATAGATACAAATTCTTAAGTTTAATGACCTATGGCCATTACAGCGTTCATATGGTAACAATTTCAGGTCCTCCGTTCTACACATAACCCCACTGTCCAGCTGGGCAGTGCTATTTATTCTCTTTCCCATCCTAAAGCTTGTTCAAAACCTGCAAAACATTACATGGTAGAATCAGACTTTTCTGTCCATCTTGAATGTGTAGGTGTGATCCCAGCAGACTGACATGCGCATCCAACACAATTGCATTATTTGCACATGAATTAATATGTAAATAATAATGGCTAAGTACAGTTCATTATGTTATGGTACTTGTAGAATGACAACAAGACAGTAATTCTGAAAGAAGCCTGCTTCCTATTTATTCTTTAGAGATTCTCCTTGTACTGTTGCTTTGGTTCAGTTTAGATGAACAGTATTAAATGCTGACATGTGAGTTAAGGGCTATTTAACCAAGGAACTCCTATCACTTCCTCTCATTTGGTCAAACCTGACCCCTCAAAGGAGGCCAGAAGCTCAAAGAGTGTTCTGAAAAAGATATAAGAAAAAGAATATATATCCCTCTGTACTTGCCTATAATATCTTGAACAAGTTGCTGGGTGGCAGCCATTCGAGGTTTTGGCATGTCCAGCTTCTCACATTCATGGTCTGATTGATGACGATGCCTGTAAACAACAAAGTAAAACTTATATTGACTTTTCCATACATCAGTGAATGAATATTGATGTTTAAACACTCTTTTCCACTCACTTGAGACAAAAATGTTTTTCACAATAAGGACATAACACTGGCAAAAGCTCCTTTCCATTACAGTTCTTGTATGAGCATGGGTAAGATCTGTGCTGATCGGGTTTCACTGAACTGTTTCTCACATTCACCTAGGAGTAAGTACAAAATACTTTGTGTAAATCAACAGATACCACAGATATAAGTTGCAATCCCAGCTTCCCCAAAGATCTGTCCTAGCTCTCCATTCTATGGGCAAACCTGGTCTGGCTATTCCCTCCTGCTTTTGCCCTGGTTATGTTCAGCTCAGAGGCAGAAAAAGAACCGTCATCCTACTCAGTCAATTTACTTTCGAGCAGAAGAAAATGAGTAGATTCATTTTTTTAAGCTTTTCAAATTCTCAGTTAAATAATTCATACTTATATACCATATGCATTCATCTAGTCTGAAAACACACAGCTAAGTTGCATGGAATTTTAATTTAATGCTGTCATATATTATTAAATTACCTCAGAACACCCATGAGCATCCCGGCTCCTGTGCTGAAGACTTTATGGAAAAAGAAGAAAATATCACACTGTTATCAACATTCCAGGAAAAAAAAACCTGCATGTGAAAACATTTAAGTGTTTAAAGAGTAATATGACAAATTTTATCATGGGAAAACTTCAATTAGATAATGAATCTTCTCCAAAGTTTGTTCTATCCCCATGCATTTCACTTCTTGAATGGATAGATCATATTCTTTCTCAGAATGTAAAACATTTAGCTTTTGGAACTTATTCCTCAAGGTAAACAAATCATTTCAAGAGAATGAAGACACTAACATGCTTAAGAGTTCAATTCAAAGCAACCAGAGTTTGTCTGTTTAAATGGATTTTCAATCACCTTCCAAAATGGCAGAAATCCCTTGAAGGCTTCTCATATGTTAGAAGTGAAATCTGCCCCCAATCTCTGAGTTTCTCTCAGCTACTCTCTCCTAATCCAAAGTGTAAATCAAAGTGCAGGCCCTGATTTCAACCTTGCAAGAAACCCCAAACTTTTTTTCAAGAAAAAAACCACAATCAGCCTCCTCATTTTGTGACAAGGTCACCTATTTAGTTGACACTAGGAGGCCAGCAGATGTGGTGTTCTGCATTTTAGCAAAGCTTTTGACATTGTCTCACAGAGTGTCCTTCTTGACAAAAGGTCCAGCACACAGCTAGACAAGTCTGTAGTATGATGTGGCTGATGATTTGGGCTCTGAGAGCCACAGTTAATGCAATTGCTTCAGTCTGGTGGCCAGTGGAGTTCCACAGGGCTCAATTTTAGTACCAGTGCTCTTTAATATTTTTATAAATTATCTGAATACATGTCATGGTTGCCAGCCATACTAAACCAGGAAAAGCTGTGAACTTCCTTGAGGGTGGAGAAGTCACACAGAGAGATTCTGGATAGACTAGAGAGCTGGGCAGTCACCAACCATATAAAATTTAATGAGAGCAAGTGCAGGATTCTTCACCTGGGATGAGGAAATCCCAGTGACAGCATAAAAAATGAGGAAATGAAAAACAGCTGTGTCACAGGAAGTTCAGGTTGAACACCAAGAAAAGTTTCTTAGAGAGGGTGGTAGGGCACTGGATCGGGCTCCCTAATGAAACGGTCATGGCATCAAGTCTGTTGGAGTCCAAGGACTGTCTGAATGATACTCAGTTGTATGCTTTAGTTTCAGTCCTGTGAGGAATAGGGAGTTGGACTTGTTGACCCTTGTGGGACCCTTTCAACTTGAGATACTCTGTGGTTCTATGAACTTACCAAAAGATACCTGAACAGCCATCACATACAAACGGAAGAAAATCTGAAACAAAGATTTTTTTTTCAGTTAACACAACATGGTTGTTGTTTTGCTAATAGTTTATAGCTTAATTTTCACATTATTAACTTTTGCTTACATCACAGGGTAGGAATCTTTATAAGAATACTTAGCAACTGCATCTACACTTTAGCTAGAAGTAGCTTTTGTTAACTCCCCTAATTCATATTACAGAAAAACATACGAGCAGGTAAATAATATACCTTCCAGAAGTTGGAATTAGGCTTTAAATTAAAATTTTTTCAGCATCAAGCTATGATACTGGAACATTTGGCTAGCCATCAAAATTACCAGTTATGTTAAAAACAGAATTTATTGCAAGATCCCTCAGAACACTATTTACTGACAGTGAACAATTTACATTTTATTTTATGAGTTGCCAACATGCTGGCTCTTTGGAAGGGAGAACATCTCCTCCACTGGATAGTCATAATGATCCTGCCCCTTCTTCACATCATATCATACATACTGACCTTGGGTGATTAAAATTACACACACTTCCTAAGCCTCTGTGCACATCCCCTGCCTACTACATAAATTCTTACAGATAAAATCACTTCACTATCTGCTGAACTCCACCACATCATTAATGGCAGCAAATTCCAAGTCCAGCCCACTACTCTGCTTCTCCATCCTTCAGATTTTATTCTGACAGACCACCACGCAATGGACCGTGCAGCTCAGGTCGCGATCATCTCAATCCCTTCATCTTTGAGTGGTCCCTCAGAAAGCCTTCGGTGCAGGCGGTTCTGCTGCTTCTTTCTGAGAGCTTACATCTCCAGTCACACCTCTCCGAGATCACTGAAGGCAACCAAATGTGAGGAAGGGGCAAGAGGGCTATTAACCACCCAGTGACACAACCGAGGTGACAGGTGCTGGCACCGGACTGTGGCAGGGCTATAGCAGCACAGAGGACTCCCCGAGCTGGGAGGGGCACTCCTCGCAGACCCCGCACCGTCCCCGGCCCACCATCCCCGTCTCCGCCGGGACCCGCCGAGCTCCCCCTTACCGAGCTGGCGGCACTCGGGCACCCCACAGTGCTGCCCCACCTCCAGCTCCGCCATGTCCGCGGCACGCAGGAGGCGGGGAAGCGGCGGGGCGGGCGGGGCCGCGCTGCGGAGGGGCCGGCGGGGCCCGCCCCGGGGCAGAGCCTAAGCGCCTGAGCCCGAGCCCACCCCCGCCCCGCGGGCTCAGAGCTGCGGGAATGCCGGCGGGATGGGCCACATCTCCGCGCTCAGGAAAACCTGCTCTTAGCAGCCCTTGTCGGTCCAAGCTCCAGACTCCAGCGGGCCCATTCAGACCCAAGCATTCAGAGGCGCGGCTGGTTCTCCTCCTGGGCTGTTCCAGGCAAAAAAAAAAAGTGCATGTTTTGTGTCTTATTTGTGTCGCTATTTGCGTCGTCCTTCGGCGCAGAGGCCATTCCCGGAGGCAGAGCGGAGATAGCCCGGTTTCCCGAAGCACTTCATGCACCCTGTAACCTGTTGATGCCACTGAGGTTTCCTTAGCCATGGCGCACGCACCACTTTTGTAAAAAAACACATTCCTTCAGAATTCAGTGTTATTTTCCCAGCCCTGACCCGCGTGCACGCCATTCTCCGAGCGTGATGCCCTTCCGAAACACCTTCCTGCGGCATGTCTCCAGTTCTATGCTCCTCAGAGAGAGAGAGAGAGAGAGAGACATGGGGCTTCTGGAGAGGATACGGCAGGGAGCTACAAATTAATCAAGGGACTGGAACATCTCTCTTCGGAGGAAAGAAGAGAGTTGAGCCTCTTCAGCCTTGAGAAGAAGCGACTGAGAGGTGGCCTCACCAATGTCTATAAGCCTCTTATGGGAGGGTTCCAAGAGGTTGGGGCCAGGTTCTTCTCAGTGGTGCCAAGCAATAAGACGAGGCAACAGGCAGAAACTGATGCACAGGAATTTCCACATGAATATGAGGAAGAACTTTTTTTTTATTGTGTGGGTGACCACTCAATCGAACAGGCTGTCCAGAGAGGTTGTGCAATCTCTCTCCCTGGAGATACTGAACCCCTGTGCCGTGCGTTCTAGGATGACCCTGCATGAGCGGGGATGTTGGACCAGATGACCCCCTAGTGCATTCTGCTATTCTAAGACATGAGGGAAAAAAGCAGGGGGGAAGCTCAAACTCGGCAGCCGCGTCCGCAGCGCCGGCCTGGCCCGAGTCCCTGCGGCTCCTCCCGCCGCTCTGCCCGGTGCTGGCTGAGGGCAGCGGCGGCTCGGCCTCCGCGGGGCCGCCCCCGGGCCCGCCCCGCCACCAGGTGCGGTGCCGCCGCCGCCCGTGGGATCTGGAAGTGCAGTCACGGCGTGTGCCGGGCAGGGAGGCTCCTGAGGACCGGGCTGGCGGGTGCCGAGCCGGGATCTCCGCCATGAGCAAGATCTCCAAGTTCTTCAAGGGGGGCGGCTCGGCCGCCTCCAAGGGCCGCAGGGGTCCCTCGCCGCAGGAGGCGCTGGCCCGGCTGCGAGAGACTGAGGAGATGCTGAGCAAGAAGCAGGAGTACCTGGAGACGCGGATCGAGCGGGAGCTGGCGGTAGCCCGGCAGCACGGCACCAAGAACAAGCGAGGTGAGTGCCGGCCGGGCCCCGCGCGATTAAATCCCGGGAATGGAGCGCTCTGGCTGCGGCGGGGATTCGGATCTCGCCGGGGCTGGGCCCGCAGATTCCGCAGGTGTGCAGTGTGGTTCGACGGTGGGCTCTGAGCAAGTATCACCACACGCGAGGCGGGATGGTGGTTTTGGGTCTTTGGCATCTATTAGTGTTTAATGAACGGTGAATTAATATAGCGGGATGGGAATTTGTTATTCCTCACAAATTTACTGTCTGTGGTTTCCTGTGCGATTCACCTGTCCGTGCTTTGCACCGCAGTCGATGCTGGCTGGATACACGGAGGGCAAAGTACTGCTCCTCAGCGAGGGGAGGGAATTGCTGTGTGGGGGCTCAGCATTGGCTGGGCAGCTGGCAAAGGAGATGAAGGATGTGCGGATCTCCTGTATATTCACGAATAAATGCACATTATCCCCATTGCTGACAACTGAGGAACAAAGTGATGCAATGCTTTGTCCAAATCATGTAAGAGCTATATATACAACCAAAAAAAAGAATGTAGCTAATAAAGCAGTAGTCACTAATGCTCTAAGCTATCAAAGGAGAGGATGCTAGGGGGTCAAAAGGTCTGGCTCCTATGTATACTGGTGTTGTCATCCCTGGGAAGCAAATGATGGTAGTCAGTGTCTTGGGGATATACAGGCCTCAGAGAAACAAGTTAATTACTTCCTGAAGTCACATGGAGACCTGTTTGTGTACTCTGAGCTGTATTTTAATTTAAATGCTTCAAAACAGAAGAACATTTTGAGTTAAAGATTTGTGATGTAACAAGAAAGCAGGTCTTTTGCCTGTTCTGTTACTCAATAATTTAAAAAATAATGCCCTGTAAGCTCAAACTTTAGAGGAGCTGTTAGAGGTATTTTGGTTAGCTCTCTAATGTATTTGTAATACTTTAGCATTTAATAATTATTAGCAAAGACAGTTTAACTAAACTAACTTTTAGTTAGAGTGGATTTAAAATTGTGGGTTAAGATGGGATAGATTCGAAGGCAGATCCAGAGGGAGTAAAGTCACTTGAGAGCTTAACTGAGCCAGCTCTTTAAGAGCATGGGAGTTGTCCCACTTGTCCCAGTCTCACACTTTCTACTCCCCTGGCTTCAGCTGGAGTGTCTCTTGGTTCCTTCTCCAAGCACCTCTGTACTGTCACAGTTCAGCTGGAAGCTAACTTGCTATGGGACAAAGTGACCAGGTGGCTCTTAGGGCTGAATTCATTGTGCAAAAGCCTGAGCTTGCTGAGCTGGTGCAAGAAAAAAGGTTGGTTCCTATGACTGTAGCAATTCCTGGTTAAATCCCAACATGCTGCTCCTGAACTTCTTCCCAAACCTGAACTATAAGCTGGCACATTTTCAGGAAGAAGAAACATTTCCTGCCTCACTCCTGCCCTTGTGCTGCTCCCTTCCTTTTCCTTAGCAGAGCTCCCTGAAGGGTGTGTTTCAGAAAGCTGCATATTTTAAAATACTGTGGTTTTCTTTGTCTGGGCTGTTATTTTTACCCAGGATAGTTTAAGTTCCACTTATCCAGTTGACCTGGTAGCTACACGAGTGCTTGTGCACCTGCGAAGCAGAGGGTGGGGCACAGACAGGAAAAAGAACTTGTTGGGAAAAGGTGGATCTGCTTCTCCTTTAACTCAGCTGTTTGATAGTGGTTTCAGGTGTGTGATGGCCTTTTGCTTCAGGCATGCAGCATTTTATATCTGAAGCTTTTCTCCCAGATCGTTGTTTCTACTGCAGTGCTCAATGCGCAATTTACCTAGTTTTTTATCTACAAAATTATTCATGGAGTTGTATTGCAAACTGATTGTGGTTAAAAATAACTGCCTTTTTATTTTGTCATTTGCTCAGGGACCAAAAGTTCAGTGTGATAGTTTTTATTCACACCAAAAATGTTTCTGAAACCAAAATGGGATAAACTAAGTGCAGTCAGAGGAGAAGCAGTATGAACCACATATTGTTTAAAATATAACCCTGCTGTGCCAAAGTGCTTAAATTTAGCAGGATAGTCAGTGAACTTAAAATCCCAATAATATATCTTCATTTGATATGTCAATTGCTTTGCAGTTTAATTACTGTTGATTTACATATGGTAGCATATTAGCAAGTGTACAGTACTGTATAGCTCAGAGAAAATCTGTGCTGACCACCATCTACTGGAAATATATTATGTAAACATACACACAAATGAGAGAATGAAGGTTTTAATCTACACTGCCTTGTTGAAGTGAGTGTTTCAGAGGGACAACACTGGTAATTTTAATGTAGTTTGTTTTGGTTTTTTTTTCATTGCATCTGTGTAGAAGCCTACGTGAACTAAAATGGGGCTGTCTGCAACTGGAGCAAGATGAATGTAGGGCTAGAAACTGCACCAAATTAGTATGATCTCACTTGATTTTTATGTGCATGAGTCTGAGTCAGTTGCACCAACACAAGAGAGAGCAGATTCAAGCACCAGCAATTTCTCATGACTTCATATGATTCTTGAATAGGTTTCATGTGACATCAGTAGGCTTAACTTGATTTGAAAGCTGTAATGTGCTAGCTATGCCATAGATGTGAAACATCCCTGAAATACTCCTGGCTTTTCCTTTATGAAGAATCTCTGCAGTTCCTGTACCTAATCTGGAATTACCTGTGCTTTCGAGGTGATACATTTCCAGCATTCTCCATTAATATCTGATTGTAGCTAGACCACTTCAGGGGTTTTTGTTTGCTGAAGTTCCTTCTGAAGATGTTATATCATGACAAGCAATATTTTTATCACAGTTAGCACTGAGTTCTAATGCCTCTCCTTTCCAGGGACAAATTATTTTTTTAATCTCTTGCTGTACTTTTTGGGAGTTTCTCAGTTTCAGCCAGTGCATAGCTCCCAACTCCATCTACATATTGGCTTTTCTTCTCCATTATTTTGAATGACATTAGAAGAAAATTTAAAGAACAGGAAGTGATACTCAATATTTGAGAACTTTGTTTAAAATGAAATGTGTTTTCTGAAGCATGCCTATAATTGTGAAAGTAACATACACATGAATGTGTGTTGTTTCAGCCTGGTGTCTTTCACAGATCCTAAAAATATTAAAAAAACTTAATAAAAAGAATAAAGATAAGCCATCCAGAATATGATTAAATCTTAACCATAAAAAATCCCATAGTATTAGTGAGGACAAAACCTATGAAGAAAGTGTGAATAACAGTGAGGCTTTCACAAGTAGATGCTGCTAAGTATGTTGTGTGTTATGTTTGGGCAGGGTTTATGTAGCTGTGTAGCATTCCTTTTCAATGAGGTGTAACCAGGAGGCTGTGGAAGCCAAACAATGATGTGTGTTAGATGGACAGGACAGTCATGCCTACGGTAGGCTGTGGGACAGGTTGGGAGTGAGGGGTTTTGGCAGGGACATAAAGGAGAGTCCTTGGTGTGTCTTTGCTCTGTGAGTTACAGTGATTGTTCTCTGACTTTCATGATCACATTTCAAGTGTCTTGCCATGAACTGGAATACTTTTAACTGGTTCAGCTCATTATTATTCTTGATTTTGCTCCTCAGTTGTAACTGCATGTGGCTTCCTCCACAAGGCTTTAAGGACTATGAAGTGCTGAAAATGAGCCTAATTAGGGTCCTATAATTTTTATGGCCTCAGCAGCATTGTCTTTGGCTGTCCCTGGAGTGAGGGAGGTCAGAATCCCTTGCAGGCCTGAGGTGGAGGTTTGTGAACTGTATCCAAGAATGAGACCTGGTATTTTCACAGTGGTGTTACATCTTCAGAAGAAAGAGTCTTAGCCTACTTCCATAGTTTTCTCATTGGAATGATAAGGATTATTAGACAACAGTTTATTTCTGCTTCAGAAGATGATGAGCTCATTGGTGCTTTCTGTACTAATGGGTGTTGGTGGTGGGCTTGACAGGTAAAGGTGGTATTACTGCACTGTTGCTTTTCAGTCTGATGTGTCATGAAACCATGAGAAGGGTGCCACAACTCTTATTATGTCATTACTGCCGTTTTTCATTTTGAAATCTGGATATTCAGTGTGGCCAGGATTCTTACTGCCCAGCTGGCCATTTCTGCTTCCTTAACAAAGTGTCAGCATTGTAGCAATATTTAAAAATGCTTGCGATATGCAGTGGAAAACCAGTAAATGTTCTATGTACTTTGTAAAACACAGAAAAATAGATACCAAATAACAATGAAATCCTCTTAAATTAGTGGTTGGAGCTACTGTAGTGAAATACTCTGCAATAAAGGGCAGTCATTTAACACAAATCAGGAAAATCATATAGCGTGGTGTGAATTTATAATGCTTTGCTTGATAAGGAAGGAGTATGAATTTATTTCCTATGAAGTGCTTTATTCTGTAAGTCACTGGTAAAACTAAAGAGAAGGAAGATAATATGTTGCACCACAATAATTAGGAAGAGCTGTTTATGAATACTGAAGTCACAGAGAGTTTAGCTTCTCTGTGTTTTCTTGATTTGGGTGTGGTTTAATTAAATTATCTTGAGATTTTGAAAACAACTGCTTTGTGTGTAACTGAGGAAATCCATTTTCTCTGTGAGCAACCAATAATAACAGCAGCATTGCGGAGTCCCAGTTCTGAAGAACACTGACTAAAAAGACTGTCCATGATAGATGCTTGTTCCAGCTGAAGTCTTTCTGCATCAGTTTATTAGTGCTCCTTAGTCCTCAGGGCCTCCGACTCCGCTCTGGCCCAGCCAGTGTTATGCGCAGTTTCAGACTGTTACATTTGTCTGGAACCTCTAGCTTCCTAACCTAAGAATCCAGGATCAAATTTGATCCAATGGAAGCTAAGAAAGGAAGTGGGTGGTGTCTTAACTCTATGAATACTAAGCATAAATAAGTGGGGAAATAATAAGTAGGTAAAGCTTGTTGGGGATTAAATCAATATTAATTAAGTATTATATCAATTATTCAATAATCAATTATCAATTATATATATATTATATATATAATCAATTATAATTATTCAATATATCAATTATATCAATAATTAAGTATTTTAGAATCACCAGTGAGACTTACAATTCTTACATTTGCTGTGTGCATGGCATCATCTGGAGTTTGTGCAACTTCTTCAGAATATGCGTGATCTTTGAACCATCCCCCAAAACCTGGGAAAATCTTGGATTTGAATGCTGTGATTAATCTGTTGGTGTTGTGGTTTGCTGTCCTGAAACATCTCACTGCAGATGGTGGAAGGCATCTTAGGCTGTGTGAATGCCTGTCCTTGTGCAGCTCATGATGAGTAATTTTGATCAGGTTGATTTAAGCATTTGTCAACAAAGCATTGATTTTTTTAGTGTGCTGTTACACACCTTAAATCTTTGTGCTCTCCTTGGGGGAATCCTAATTTAATTTGGAAAGTTGTGTACCCAGTGTCAAGGTTCAGTGTTATTGCACATGGGCAATTTTAACAGGACTGCAACAGTAGCTGCTACTTTTGGTTGAGTTTGGGGGGGCACAGGGCTGCTGGGGCTTGTAGGCACTGAATCTGTTTGAAAAATTAACTCTAGGAGACATGGGAAGGAATGGGGCTGCTAATAGCATTGAAAGAAACCAAACGATGGGTTAACTCAGTCCCTTGGTTTCGTTTGGTGGGGCTTTTTTGCCTGGCACGTGTAGTTTGGAAAGGCCTCTCATCAGGAAATGCTTGTGGCAAAACTGTGTTCTACACCCTGAGGCCAAGAGAAAGTTCTTTTCTCCTCATGCTTGTCACGTGCATTTATTCTGGTAATGATTTACTCTGGGCAGAGTACGCTGCTCATAACTTAGTGAATATAAAAGACTAATCTCAACAATTTACAAAGATAATGGGGTGTAGCTGGATTTGACTGTGCCTGTGTCTACAAAGTTCTTTATGTTTTTAAATTCTAAGGTTTAAAGATCACATTCCTAAGTGATTGTAAGAAATAGATGAACTAAAAAATGGAGTAATGCAAATCCTCCTCTGATGTAACTCATCTGCCTGGCTGGACCATTTGGGCCCTCTGTTGCACTTCACAGTTATTGCTGCTGAGACAAAGTTTAAAAAGCGCTTTTGGTGGAGTTGTGGTTATCATGGCAGATCTTCTTACACTGTCTTCCTTAGGTTTTACTTACATTTTGCATCTTATTCTTTTCTTCTCTCTTCTGTTTCCTCCCTTCTGACTTCTCTGTGATGTTTTTCTTTTTCCTTCCCATCTTCCCTGCTTTGCCTGTGTGCACAGGATGGAGTTCAAGATCTCCCACAGTGGAGGAAGACGCTGCTTTTCCTTGTGGTGCTAAAAGGAGTTAATCTAAAAGAGGCTTCCCAGCATGTTCATGCAACAGCCTGTTGGTGATTAACAGGCTGCTGATCTGGTGTGGCCAAAGTTTGTCTCCCTCATAGTAAGGTAGGAGGGTGGGAATTACAAATTCTTCAGGTCAGCTTGGTGCTGAACTACTTGTCCTTGCATTTGCTATGAAAACACACAGTGCACTTTGCCTCTTCCCATTCTAGCTGCCTTACAAGCGCTGAAGAGAAAAAAGAGATATGAGAAACAGTTGAATCAAATTGATGGGACACTTTCGACTATTGAGTTCCAGAGAGAGGCATTGGAAAATTCACACACCAACACAGAAGTGCTCAAGAACATGGGTTATGCTGCACAAGCTATGAAAAAAGTACATGAAAATATGTAAGTGTTTTCTAGTAGCTTCCAAGTTGAACTTACTAACCACTTTCAAATTATTCCATCACTACAGACTGTTGTATCAAGTTAGATAGTTTTGACTTAATTTTTGGTTCGGGCATTGAATGTCAGGAATGCTGTTAGTGCTGTAGTGTTATATTTGGCAGGAAAATGTATTTCCCTAACAATAACTCTAGAAGGAAATTCACTTACTAGTTAAAACTAGTGAGATCTGTTTTCTTAAGTCTATCTTGGCAGTGGAGAATGGTCTCTGTCCTTGGTTTGTCTAGAAGAAAGTCTAATAGAAACTAGGTGGACTCTTTTCCTCAGAATCCATAAGCTGGACTGTGGGATTCAAAATACTAAATAGATCCATCTCCTTCCTATCTGCCCCTTCTAAAAGAGAATTACATTTTTATTTTCATAGGTCCTATATTGTTTCAAGGGATGTTTTTCTGCCTGAACAAACAGAGTTAAATCAGAAGGGTTGTTCTGGGAGAAATAAACAGGAACTGAAACAATAATGAAGTTAACAATAAGGGGAAACCTTTAAATGGGGTAAAATTCTGTTAAGTTCCCCCCAGTTCTGGTGAAAGCTTAACATCAAAAAAGATTCATAAAATCGTAGAATAGTTTGGGTTCAAAGGGACTTTTAAAGACAATCCTGTCCAAACACCCTGCAGTGAAGAGGAGGATCTTCAACTAGATCAGGTTGTCCAGAGTCCATCCAACCTGACCTTGGATATTTCTAGTGATGGGGCATCCACCACTTCTGGGCAGCCTGTGCCGGTGCTTCACCACCCTCATTTTAAAAAACTTCTTCCTTGAATCAAATCTAAATTGGCCCTCTTTTGGGTTAAAGATGTTACCCTCTTCCCCTCTTTTTTATAAACCCCCTTTTAAGTACCAAAAGGCCTGTAAAGATGCTGACCTTGGGGGTCTGGTCATGAGCTGTGACTGTCTGGCAGAGGTATGAGGAGCACATAGAGGGAGAGATGCGGTCTACTGCAGTTTGACTTTTGTTGTAATCCCAGCATGGAAGTAGGTGGACTGGGTGTAGGTGAGGAAGACCATTGCCGGTGAATTCTGCTGTTTAAGAAGTCATGGGCATAGAAAGAAAATAAGGTCTTTTCAAGTGTGTTCTTGAAGTACTCCCCCTCTGTGTTCTGTAGGATTTGAATGATATATCTTTAAAAAAATGTTTCCATGTTACCTTGCCAGGGATTTGAACAAAATCGATGATTTGATGCAAGATATCACTGAACAGCAAGATGTTGCCCAGGAAATTTCAGATGCTATCTCAAACCGAGCCAACTTTGGTGATGAGTTTGATGAGGTTAGTACTTCAGGCCTGTGAGTTTTAACTCCATAGTTATTTTGCTGTGCAGTGGTTTGTTTCTCAGGAAATGTGGATGTGAAATTCCTTGGTTCTAGCTTACCGTCTCCAGGACAATTGTATAATTTTATTATAAATATAAAAATGAAATAAAAATATTATATATAAAATATATAATGCACTAAATAAAAATCTGCACCTGTAAAAATATAAAAATTATTTTTATTTTTGTCTAAATTTTAAGAAAAGCATTTTTAACTACACTCCTGTAGTTATTCTCATTTGAGCATCGGAGGAAGGTCACTGAAACATGTAATTTGTACTACTCCAAGTGGACACTGAAACATATAATTTTTTGTTGCTCCGAATAGACATCCATTTGACTTAAGTGTATGTCCCTATGTCATGGACAGGCTGCTGTTCATAATTCTGAATATTTGGACCATTTTTTAAGGTTGTTTTTGGTGCTTGGAGATGCAGGTCCTTTCCCTGTTGCCCAGACCGCAGAAGTAGGTCTGATAGGTGGAAGTAATACCTCTTGGAGGCAGTAAGGTTTCATTCTAAAACTCTTTTCTTCTGAAACCCCACAAGGCATTTAGGACCTTCTCAAATTTTGTTGCAGTAGCTTTCATCCAGTGCTCCCAGATTTGATTTTGTACATCTAAACAGGATATAACTTATTTCTGATTGAACCACGGTTGAGGACTCAATGGTCAAGGTTACTCAAAAATTCTTGTAATCTGTGGAATGCAGAGATGGGCATCATGCTCAATATCACAACCAGTTTTGTTTTGTTTTTCAATTTTGTTTCAAAATGGCCAAGCACTAAGAATGGTTTGAAGAATATCCCGAATGCTCAAACCATTCATTCTGTTCCCAGCTAATTTGTTCCTATGTGCCCAAATGCACAACAAAGAAAAATATAAATGCTATATGGCACATATTGCCTTGATTGGAAGTTTCATTCAACAGTTCTAATTTGTTGAAAATAAGAATGATTCTTTGTATTTTGTTCCCATTACCTGCTTTCCTGTAATTCCATTTAGAATGTAAATAGACTTTCCAAGAAACATTTATTCATTACTGGCACAAAGAATGGGATTTGGCCTGAGCTTCGAACAATTGAAAAACATCCTGTCACCCCAAACAGTTATACAGTGTCTTACTTTTCAACAGTGCTTAACTTTTTGTAGTCTAGGCTTAGTAAGCATGTTATAGATTGACCTAAGGAAGTTCCTAAGGGATCCCAGTTGAAGCTGATGTGCTTTGTTCTCATGTGGGAAATAAGCCCCTGTCACTTGGAGTGTCATCTTACCAGCTTTTGCATAGGAGCCTAACACTTAGAGCACTTGGCAGTAACTGGGAAACCTGGTTTGTAGGCTACTCTACCTTAAGAGTGCTAGAATCAGTGACTTAATTGCTGGGGTATAAGGTGGTTTGTGTTGAAGGATAATATTTAATTTAATTTTTTTTTTAAGGATGTTTATTCCATGCACTTGGATGCATTTTCTCTTAACATGTGTGCCATGGCTGTAAGGAGACCATGGAAACATGTGATTTCTCCTGCTCCAGACAGGCACAGAAACATAAGAGTTCCTTTTCCCTGGGTTGGCACAGTGTATGTTTACCTTAAATTATAAAACCATGAGAAAGTAAATACAGGTATAAATCCTGTGGTGGTTATGCAACTATCATTTTAAGTTCGACATTGGTGATAAACAAAGTATAAATGTGTAGGCAAAGCCCATTTCAGTATCTAATAGCTCCTACTTTACTACTTTTTTTAAACTTCCCCCACCCCTCTCCAGTGGTTTTTGCCCGTTGTTTCTTTGAAACCATTTTATCAATGTGGCAAAGATCCATTTCTCTACAAATATGTAACATTTATCTTCCTTTCTTTAGGAAGCTTCAGCTGAGAAATAAGTTCCTTGCTTTTTAAAAAAGCATACGACCTTTTAATTTTTAGCATTGTACGAGTGGATTAGATTGTCTGTCCAAGTCAGCCTCTGCACCTAAAAGCCCATGAGTGCTGAATGCTTCAAGAGTGAATAACAGGACCCAAAGGACAGTTTTGATTCCAGTGCTGCTTTGAAATCACATATAATCCTGGACTTACATGATAGGGCTGAAGCATAATGTTTAATGACAATCTGCCTTATAACCGCTGGAAGGTGTTTACCTTTTAAAATTGGAAAAAAGGCACATTAAAGTTAGAATCCATTGAAGGGTACAGACTCTAGATTTGGAACAAACCTGAGAACAGCAGCGAGGCTTTTTACTCTGTATTTGCCTTTTTGGCATGTATTGTACTGCTGTTAGTTTTGTTTCTAATTTTATTCCTTGTCCTGTTTCTAACTTTCATTATCCTATTTTCAGTGTTCAATTAAGGTTTACTTAATTGCCCATACTTAGTAAAAATTACACTTTTTAATGTGCTGTTTCTTGATATGTCCTTTCAGGTGTAAACTGGTTTTTTTTGTAGTACTTTGCTTCATAGTGGTTAAATGTACCCTTGCATTTGTAAATCATGTTTTCCTTGAATTTAGGATGAGTTGATGGCAGAATTAGAAGAACTGGAGCAAGAAGAACTGAACAAGGGAATGAGAGATGTCAGGTTGCCAAGTGTTCCGTCCACATCGCTGCCTTCTCGCCCTGGTAAAATGCCTGCTTGCCATTATATATTTCTCATTATTAAGCTGTGCTGTGAGAAAGGGGAGAGGAAAAGAATGTTTCAGATATGCATTTAACTCTGTTGTAACTTTTCAAATGTTATAAATTAATTTTCCTATTTCTGTATCTGCTTAACAGAAAAAACAGAGTGGGATTCCATTTTTCTCTGTGAAAGCATTTAGGACCAAATTCTCTGTAGATTTGGGGTGACAAACTCAGCACATACCTTGCTTGTATACTGATGAATCTCCTACTGAAATGTAGTAAGATCATTGAGGAATGATCTTTTTTTTGCCTTTTTTTTCCTTCTTTTTGGCAATTAAATCCTTAGTGTCTTTCAATTAGAGTCTGACCTAGATTCCAAATGTTTACGTCATAAAGATCCAGCTTTGCAGGGTAGTGGTTTGATATTTTATACTGGTACTTTAATTGGAAATGAAGGAGGCATTGGGAAGCACATATTTAAAGACATATTTTCATTCCTTTGCTTTCTTTCTACTGAACAGGCTTATTCCCGGTATTAAGCTGTAGTTTTATTTTCCTGTAGTTCTGCCCTGTTCATTTTGAATTCAGCCAGAGGCAGTCAGCTTTTAATACACTTTTCACTGCCAGTTGAAAGACTTGCTGTGACTGACATTAGTAAAAGAATGTAAATACTTGATGGTAAGGGCAGCACACATGTGACACAGGTTGTTTATAGTTTCTGCTACAGAACAGGTTACCTAGACCAGCTGAAATCAGATACTATGGTAAGTGTTTTGGCAGATGACACTTAAATCTTGAGAAGCAGTTTAAAATGCTCAAGTGGAGACTGTGGCCTCATCTACTGAACTCATCTACTGAATTGCAGAACAGTTAGTAAAAAAAAAGGGATTTAGAAAAACAGTGAAAATTTAGTCTGGCCATTATGATTTGTTCATACATTGCCTTCCAGATCCAGCTGTGCCAGTTGATATTTTTATTAAATGCAGACCATCTCCATGTGATTCTCACTATTTTAATTTTCTACTTCATGCATCTGAATGACTGCTTCAGGCAAGATGAGCTGGTTGCAATTACATAGTTCAAAGCTGTGAAAAACTAGCTTATGCTTTCTGAAACTCTCTGCTTACTTAAACAGCACAGCAACAGACCAGTTGATGGATCTATAATGCATCAACTGGAGATGCACGTTGCCCTCCTGATTTTGAGGATGAGGAAACTGCAATGAGCGAGGCATAATGACCTTCCCTGATTACAAAGTGAACCTGTGACACTTGCAGAATAGGGACTGAACCTGTGGTCCCCCGTGTGCCTCTCCCACCCTTAGTCCCCAAAGGGTAGTTGCAGTTTCCCTCAAGACAGCAGCTCCTGGCCCTGTGGCTGCCCCAGGCAGGAGCCAGCTGGCTGCGGTAAAGGTGCACACACAGGTGTTGGACCCAGTAGCAGTGTTCCATTGGTGGCTGGAGAGATGCCACTCCTGGCGTGCACAGCCCGCACATGGAGGAGGCAGCCTGAGGTTGAACCTGGGCTCTGGTGTCTAATTTGTGGGTCAGCAAATGAAGACAGTTTGGATGAGGTTTTAGTTTAGTGGATGCAGGTGATGTGTGATAGGAGATTTGGGTACAAAGTGTGTGTGGGGCATGATACCGCGCTGGGAATTGCTGTTAACACAGCAGTTAACTGATGTCACCTGAGCAAAGGAAGTTCAGGAATGTCTTTCTCCATTTAATAAATGACACCATCCATTAAAACAGGGTGAGTTCATTCAGAGACTTGCTTGTGCAGAACCTCTCAGCATTATTTGGAAAGGTAGCAGGATGTGCAGCTGGCCAGGATAGGTCACTTTTGCTCATTTACATGGGGGTGAGAGAACTGACAGCATTCTTGTGGGCCTTTCCTGGCTGTGACAACCTTTAGAAATGAAATGTTTTTTCTGTGTGAGTCTTTCAGAAGGAATGACGTCAGACCTGTATTATGAACTTTAGGTTCTGTAGGAAATATGATGAGGCAGAATAGTCACATCTCTTATGAGCTTCATTCCTGCATTACTCATGTTTAACTTGCTACTCAGTAAATTGGTCTGAGATCTTCACACAGAAAAGCACTATGCAAGTCCTCATGCTAATGGATATAATGGTTCTGATTGTTACTTTAGTTGATTGTTATTGTCTCTTTATCTGCAGCATCGACCAGGAAACGAGCAGAGGATGAAGATGAAATGAAGAAACTGGCTGCCTGGGCTTCATAAGAGCATGGTCTTTTAAAAACTCCAAACATTATAGTGCAGAATGTGAAGAGCTGTACTGCTGTTTTATAATCTCACTGATGTAGTGTGGTTGCATTTCATACAGGCTGGGGTTTTTTATGGCATGTCTTGCTGAGACTGGTGTTACTGCCATATTACCAAACTAGCTTAAAAACCAGCAAACAAAATAATTAAGTAGTTGCCTAAACCTTCAGGCATATATTTTTTTTCAGCCTTGTCAAGAGATTTGTTTTATTATTAGTATCAGTTTTTAATAGGTACTATCTTACCATATCTGTTGGTTTGTAAAAACCTGTGTGCCTCACTTATGCTCAAAGCTGGATTAGTTTTTGAAATGCGGAAGTTAAGTAAGTTGTCAGGGCCCTATAACTAGAGGGTTATTTGGTTCAGACTATTTTAATATTAGCAAAACAACTTAATACATGTCCTCACTTGCAAGTTCTTTGAGCCCAAGAATTACTAACAATTCATTTGGACATGAAGATTCAAAGTCTGCCGGGAGCAACTTACGGTGTCCTAGATATTAAGAGGAAGCTCTTCTGTAGGCTTATTGAAGTGGGATGTGTTACTTGTTTTGTTTTAACTGGACACAATGTCCCATGCATTTCTCTAAGTCAACTTGAATTGTATTTTAGACTATTTCTGACTAGGTTACAGAATTACAGTGATTGAGGAAAGCAAAACACTTAGGTTCTTACAGATTCTTGCCAAACACTACTGATTTGCATTAACCCTGTCAAAAGTCCAAAAGAGATTTGACCTTCCTGTATTCTTATCCTCTTCCTTGTCTTTCTAGGATGAGTCTTTATTTAGTGTGATAATACTCATCCTCACAGAAGGATTACATTTTTAATTATATAATTTCAAAATAATTTTAATTTCTGAGCATCTGGTTCTTTTCTCTTACTCAGCTTGTAAATGGCAATAGTACCAGTGTGTTGCATTTGCAGTTGCCTTTTTAAACCCTGGTTAAAAGCTGATTCTGGGTTACTTGTGAAGTTGGTGTGTTACTGTCCAACTGACAGCGTTTTAGCCTGAGGAACACATGCCACTCTTGAGTGCTAAACTATTACATATATGGAGAAATTGCTGTTCAAATGCAACCCAAAAATTAAATAGGCTGCTTTGTACTAACAAAGTATTAAACAACTCTTAAGCTCTATGCTAGTAGCCTGCTGTCCAACACAAGGAAATAGTAAAACACTATGGAGTTCTTTGGGGTGTAGGAAGCAGAGTCCTTGATCTAGGCTTCTTGTTTTCAAATGAATTTAAATTTAGTGGTGACTGAACCACCTGGGGAATAGTGGTGGACTTGGTTTCTGTAGGTCTTCAGCAACAGAAGACTGACCCCTTCTCCTGCAGGCTTTAGCCTGTGATTTGCTGGGTGTTCAGCTTCAATAGGTTCCAGTAGCCTTCAGCTTAGTGGATTTTAGGTTAAGTATAAGCAAATATGTGTTTCTAGATGTGGTCTGCTCAGAGCCTCTCAAGTTGAGCCCCATGAATAAAACCCAAGATGTATAAACCCTGTGGAGAGATTGACTTTTTCAGAACTTTCATTCTCTGTGGAGGAATTGCTTTTGGATTATATCTGTATGACAGCTGAATCAAATCTTGCCACTTCCGATAATTTGCTTGCTGGAAAAAACTGTGCGTATTAATTCTGTCCTAAAATTTGGAGGTACTAAGAAAATTGTCCCTTTTTGTTGAGAGTAGAGAAAGTCTGGAATTATTTTTGTTTTAAATACAAAATAAAACAGAAAAAGAAAGGACAGAATTGCCTTAAATTTAAAAATACATTTTGAACTCTGTAGGAGTAGGAAACCAAATACTAACAAAATGCTACTTGGTTTTAATGCTTGCTGAAATTCAGCATGAGATGCTAGCTGAAATCAAGAACATTTAGGAAAATAGAAAATATTCTAAATTATTTCAAACCCATTTGCTAACCCTTCTGGCTTGAATCCTGTGTTCAAAGTGTGTAGTTTATGTAGGTCTCTGAATTGGATACGAAACATATTAGCACACACTGGGTGCAGGATCATGCGAGGCTGGCAGTGGTTCTGGACACTTCTGGTATTTCTAAATATGAAGCCATGCCTACATAATCCCATGGTTAGTTTGGAAAAGCTGGCTTCCAGGCTCTGTTCTTGGTTGAATTAGTAGTTTAACAGTGCTTGGCTCTTACGCAGCCCTTGGCATTATTTGGAGTGCTCTATAACCTAATGGATCTCTAAACTTCCAATTTGAAACTAAAGTGACTTTAAGTCTGCTTTGGAAAATGTGTGCCTGCTGTTTTTGAATAAGAATTTTCCATGTGAACACCCCTCACTGGAGACAAAAAAATCCTGTAGAGATCTTCTTTGCTAACCAGTGTTTGACTTCCAGCAATGTTTGGCCAAGTGTTGATCCTGAAGGAGCTTCAGGTGCGTTCAGTTTATTAATCTCAGACCAAGCACTTTCAAACATTTTGTTTTTAAAGGTGAAATGAAACTCCATGTTCAGGTGAGCTGCTCTGTAGGCTTATGTATAGTGGCTGGTGATCCTGAAAGACAGACTTATGTACCAGTTCATAGGCCAGGATGTGAGGTTGGTGAAATTGTACTCAGAAACACTGTAGTGATGTACAGAAACCAAAATACACCATATGGACCTCCATAACTGCAGTGTTTGTTGCCATATTTTTTTGGGACACCCATTTTCTTCAAGGACAAAGGGGCTGCAGGGATTTAACTCAGCTGAAGGAGTGGTGCTTTCCTGTGTAAATTCAGATAACAGTGGGACAAATGGCTCTTTCTTCTTTGAACATATACCTCTCTTCACGCCAGGATGGTATTTGTTTAGTATGTAAGCAGTCGAGAGTGAATAGTGTCAATGTGTTATTGTAAATGTACCCTATTAACTGGAACATATTTTACTGGAGGACTATGGTAGCAGATGGTGTACTGTAACTGACTTCCTTCTTGTTGCTTATTTATTCTGAGATTGTTTTTTCTCCTAACAGGCTTAGAAATTTTTAACCTGGATAACTTTAAAAAGGGGAAATACATTAATAAAAAGTGAAACTTGTTCATATATGTGTATATATATATATATATATATATATACTGTAAATAAATATTTTGGTGTCATGTTTGTGTTACATGATTTTGTTAAATTTCTTTTCCTATCAGGCAAAATTGTAAGTACTGTCCTTACACTGTCATTAAGATATAGTGCTCCTTCAAAGGATATTTTGAAACATTTTTTTTGATGTATTAATCTTTCAGCAGCCAGTTAGCATTCAAGAATTCTTTTAAGTTGATTTGCTTTAAAAAACAACCAACAAAAAACCACACCTCGGTGTAAATTGTGGTGTTTGGGCTGCATTCCTTCACACTTAACCATTGTGTAGCAAGAAATTATTTTAATTTAATATATCAAAAATACATCCCTCTCCTCCCCTCTGACACAAAGATGTTATCATTGCTTCAGTGATATGTGTTTTTCACTTTCCAGGCCTTGAAAGGAAGCATGATCTGGTCTTTTAAAAAGGAAAAAGAAAAAAAAATATGATAGGCAAGGATGAAGTGAGATAAATATAAAATGCATTTTTTCATTCATCTTATTAAAATTTCTTTAAAGTCTGTGTGTGTGTATAGTGTCTCACCTTTTATGTACACGCACATATATTTATATGTATGTATGAAATGCTGGAGAAGAGATTTAGGACCACTATTCATTATCTGGTGTGGAAAGGCTTCAATTGCTTGGGCAGCTTCTCTTTTCCTCTTTGTAAATCCTAAGGGTTTTGTTGCAAAATGCCAAGGAACTGCTGTGGTATGAGTACTGCTGTCTGTGTCTACAGCTCTGGGGGGTGGAAGAACAGGATGAGAGTGCAGGGGGAATATTTAGAAAATCTCACCATCTTTCATGATGTAGAGCTTATATTATTTTAATTTTGTCATTTTTTTAGAAACATAAGGAGAAAAATTTAGTCTCAAAAATAATTTAGTAGCACATCTTAAGAACTACAAGTAGTATAATCTCAGATAGCTCTCATATTTTCTCACATCTGTCCCCATTGCAGAGACTGTGGCAAGATCCACCTTCATAGCACTGTTGAGCCAGGTGTATGTTGTAGGAAAAGTATAGCTGGTTTATGTGACTTTGATCGTAGTTTAAATGGTCTGTTGTGTTATCAGCATGTAATTGCCTGGTCACCACTGAACTATACTCTTAGGATCAATATCTGCAGATAAAACTAGATTATACAGTTGTGAAATGCTAATATGTGCCTAGAAATTTCTGAACAGCCTGTACACATACCTAAGATGAGTGTGTCTGGCAGGGTCACTCGTGCCTCTCTGCTGCCCTGCTTCCCTCCTCTCCTGCACACTACACTTGTGTTTTCATGTTTTGCTTGTATGTATGCTAGCTGACTTTTCCTCCTGCAACTAGAAGTCTTCTGATGATTCCCTGGTTGCTATTTGCTACAGTTATTTGTCAAATTCCTTATTACCAAGACAGACTTTGGGCAAATGCCATCTTGGGGAGTGTGGGCTTGACGCTCATCCAGGCCCTTACAGCCTGTGCTGTCTCAGCAGCCACTACTACCCAGGCTGTTTTTGGGGCAGCAGGGCAGTGTAGGTACCCCTCAGCTGGCTTTCAGCAGGGCTGGCGTCCAGTTCTCCCTAAGACTGAAGGCAAGTTGAGGATCTGTGATTTGAGCTAAATTTAATCAAATAAATGTTAGGCTAGTTGTCTGAGCTGCTGTTCTGCTCCCGTGGAGCTGGTAAGTGTCAATATCTCTCATTCTCACTGCTGTGACATCAGCATTCACCAAGTCTTACGGGGCAAGGAGTGTTCAGTGCTTTCAAACAGGATTAACATGGACACCCCAGCTCTACCCTGAGCTTAGCACTCCTTTCTCAAAAAATTAAACTTACACTTTAGGAGTAATGTGAGTGTTCAGGTATGTTTAATTTATTAATATATCCAGATGTCTTAGCTTTACTTTTGTACTCAGCTTACTAAGGGGACCTTGGTGCAGCTGATGAACAAACTAAACTCAGCTGGGACTGTGACGTACAGGCATGTGTAGGGTTGTTGTATTACCAACTGTCTGTGTGTATATGGGGTTTTGGAGTGCCTGGTGCAGCCGCTTTGCTGCCCAGCAGCAGTGGTGAGCTCCATCAGCAGCAGGACTCTGCAGACCTCCAGGAGGAGCTCTGGATTCAGCATACAGAAAGAAACTCTGCAGGATGTAGTTTTCTTACAGGACCTGATTTCAGTCTTATTGCTCATGCTGGAGGAAAAGGCCTGCCTGGAAGTGCTGTTCAAAAACCAGGGGTGAAACCCTCCCACTCCTCCCACAAATTTCCACTTGTTAAGAGGTAAAATGCTCTTTTAAATACTAACCCACCTTCTCAGCTGCTTCTCTGGCTTCTGTCTCTTTTCTTCCCTTCCCCTGTCTATGGCCACCTTGGCACCCAGCTTTGTTCCCTGCTCTGGACTGATGCAGGAGCTCAGAAGCAAATCTTCATGCAGCAGTTTACCAGCGCCCTCTCTACACACTCAGGCCAAGGCAAAGAGCTAATACTAACCTCAAAGCTTAAAATCTGTTAAAAATACTAATTTTTAAGAATTTTTCAGTGATTTGTTCAGTGATTTGTGCCTTGCAGTGACCAGCTGCAAGCTGGATGTCATTGGAACACACTGAGGAGACTGAATTGCAAGAGGGGTTTCTCAGTCAAGGCTGTCTTAGATGCTGTGAGGGTTCAGAGCATGTCAGTCATTGTAATGAGATAATGTCAGTGCTACTTTGGGTTAGGTGGGAGCATCTGGGACATGCCTATAGTGAGGTATTGTAGCTGCTGGTTGATGTTGGCTGTAAATGTTCATATGTAAAACTAATCACTTTGATTTATCGAGGATTTGGATCTTAAAAGGTAACTTTACCGAGGAGAGGGTTTATTTGATACAGGAAATTCCATCTGAACAGACACCTTCTTACAGCTGCAACGCAGTTTCAGAAGTTCACAGATAAACATAGATTGGAGATACCACCTTTCACTTTTCAGGTTAAAACCTTCAGTTCCCAATGCTTTGCAAGCTGTTAGCAAAATATTTTAGTCAATTTAGTTTACTGAGCTAGGGAAAAAAAATCCTCCTGTGTGAACCAAGTAGTTCTGGAAAAAGTTTGTAACAGCACTGACCTGAGAACAGATCTTATCTGTATTGTAGCAGACAGTTGTGGTTGAACACAAAGGATTTAATTTTATAAAGAAGACAATGAGAAAAAATGATGGAGGAAAATGATAACAAGTTGAGACACTAATTTATGTAGCCTGAAAATCTGTCTAGAGCACATATTGTGTCTGAATAAACTGAAATCTGAGTCAACAGCTGCTTCACCAGAGCAGAACATAGAAGCCTCTTTGTTAAGACAAGAGATCTTGTCCTGTGACCTTTGGATAATCATGAGTCTTGTGTAACTCATGTCATTTGAAAAGTGAAAGATGTTGGTCTTTCCATGGTTTTTTAGATTCAGATGTGAAACTTGTCTCACAGAGGATGCCAGTAGTGAACTACAGCATGCTGGCAGCAAAAATAGATGAAAGTGATTACTTGCATGTGTTCTGTTTCTCATGCATCTCACAGCAAAGTTAAGCTGAATTTTTGATTGTTTAATGCACTTTCATCATACATTACTTTGCACATAATTTTGTTGCATTCTTAAATGATTTTTAATTGCCCATTTAGGTAGTAACAACTGAGTCAGATCTGACCGGTGTTCTCTGCAGTTATCTCTATGAGAAGCCATTTTTTGGGCTGCTTTTGTACACCTAAGCAGGAGCAATGTCTCTATAGGCATACAAACACCTCACCGAATCTTAATTTTTTTGCAAAAAATTACACAGAGTGAGACAATTTTCTCACCTATTTTTTCCAATGCAAGTTATTATCCCCTTGCCAAATTAAAATCTAAGAGGAAGCTCCTGATGTTTTTGTTAAGTTTACAATTATCCTACAAGCTGTGCTGCAGGACTTCTAAATTCACACTGCACATTCTCACACAGAAAATAAACTTCTCAGGGCAAGACTTCTAAGTGTACAAAGCAGTTGCCCTAACAGGGTAGAGCTCTTGCCTATTGCCTCTGTTTGTAACAGGTGTATTTATCCTGTAGAATGAGGGGGAAATGGACACTCCATCACACCCATAACCTGGTTACCAGAAATGCCTAGAAACAAGCCACAGGTAATCTGGGGAGAGTCTGTTGTTTTGACACATGTTGCAGCTGCTTCCTAATCTATCTATCTGTCTATCTATCTGTCTATCTATCTATCTATCTAATCTGTCTGTCTTCCTTTCTATCTATCTGTCTTTCTATCTTTCTGTTTTTCAGACAATGCAAGGCAATAATGAGATCTTGAAAGGTCAATGTGCAACCTTCTCATAGTAGGTGCTTGCCAGATGAACAATGCTTGACAAACCTACATTAAGTGCCAAACGAACAACCAAGGAGCATTTCATAGTCATCCTCAACATCCTCATAAAACAGCTGTGGCAGCTGTGGTTTCTTCTCAATGAAAAGAATTAATCCACATGGGATTGAGAAAACAGTGGCCCATTTTTCCACCACATGCAAGCATCCTAGTGTGTTCAATTTGACTGGTAGAAGAAAGGAATGTTATAAATCTAGAAGCAGTGAGTAATTTTTAAGTAAGGACATTTAAACCTACTTGAAATCCAGTTATCTCAAGACAAAGTTCCTGTATTGTACAGGCAGAAGTCTCACTGGATCAGCAAATCATCTAATTTTAACCTGCTGACAAGTCAAGGGGATCAGCAGTAACCCTAGGACTACACCAACTGACTTAGTGTGCAATTAGGGTGAATCATGTAATTGCTTTCTTCCTCAGGTTCCTTGTTTGCACAGCAGAGGGAAATATAAAACCTATCTCTCAGATACAAAGTGGGCAAAAACTTTGTTTGGTGAGCACTATGGTGATCCTCAGGTCAATGAAGCACTGAGTATGAATCAGCAAGCCTT